AGCAGTTGGACAGGTGTACCTAATAAAGTGGCCGGTGAGTGTACGTCTTAATGAAAAATTTCTTAAACTGTGAGTGAGAGAAGAGATTGGTTCTCGCTCAAGAAAAGTTTAAAATTTTTACAGAGACTTGACGTCATGCATTTGACGTTTGCTTCTGTTCTGGAACGCAACAGAAATTTTACATTGAGCAAGATGAAACAAAAAGTGGTACTACTCTGACTTCTGATGCACTTTGAGAGGAAAACATTTGTCCTATAGCAAAACCAAAAATACTGCCTGAAAAAAGACAAAAATGCATGCGTATTGATATGTCATTAAAATTGTGACTGTAGGAGGAACGTGTTCACTAAGAAATATTTTAAAAGCCAGACAGCTCTCCACTCGGGCAGGTAAAGTCAGTTGGGAGCTAACCTCAGTGTATTTCTATGAGGTTTTTTTGATGGTAGTTTTTTATGATTTACATTGTCGTGGTCACCTGAAACGTCACTAAAAGTAATGGCACACCTCACACTGCAGAGACAGTCTGGATAAAACATTCGTAGGGGTGCATGTTGCTGTTTGGGCCACATGTACGACTCTAAAAAGATAGATACAGTATAAACAGAATTGTGTAGTAACTAGTTACATTTACTCAGTTACGTTTACTAGAGTAGATTTTAGGAAAATGTATTTTTGTATTTTTATTATACTGTACTTTTTACTTTTACTTTATTAATTTTATTATGAAAAATCCCTACTCTTGAGTAAAATTTCTGGATACTCTACCCACTGTGAGTAACGTCATTGAATAAAACAGTGTTTTTCAACTCTGGTCCTCAAGGCACACTGCCCTACATGTTTTAGATCAGGGTAGGGCTGCGCGGTAGACGGTAGAAACGGTATGAAGTTGGCCTACGATAGAAATTTTCCCTCTACCGTCCTATCATCATTACGTCATCACACCTGTGTGAACAGGGCTGCGAGTGCAGACACAACTGAAAAGGAGGAGTTCAAAATGAAATGAAGAAATTATAGCGCGTAAAGAGAATAAATCCTCAAAATTTATCCCTTGCGCTGTATAGGGGTGTAAGAAAATATCGATACACTGAAATATCGCGATATTTCATTTCCCGATACTGTATCGATATTCTAAAGCCCTGTATCGATTTTTTA